GGGGGGGGGAGGCTATTTGGGGCAATAATAAGTTGTGGGATGAACGTTGGGGGGGGGAGGGGGGTGGTTTAATAGAGCAATGTAATAATCCATGCAGCGATCAGATGTTGTAATGACCTTTTTAAGTCGTTACCCTGCGAAAGATGGCTGATATATGGAGAGTAAGGAAATTTAAGCACCTAATAACAATTAAAAATATTTAAGAAATGACGTCATGCAGTATTGGGTACATGACAACACCCATTTGAGTGCGTAGATCGTGTGAAGTTCTTCAGGGCTCTTGTGAGCATACTGAGTGCTGAAAATAAAAACACTTGTTATTGGGGGGGGGGGGGCGCTGAAGAGCAAACAGATGTCATTGAAAAGAGCTATAAAAAAAAGATATATTAAAAAAAAAAGCTCTCCTACAGCAAAATCACGTCACATGACACAGTAAATAAAGAAGAAAGGGAAGGCTGGAATTTGATAACCCAATAAACATGGCGGTGGGAGCACACTAGGAAATTTGAGCTGCCCAAATTAATTATGTTCAGACATTGACGTCACTGAAACTCCACGGTGCGTGTCTGTGCGAGGTGCTACTGCTCCAGATTTTCAAAACAACTACAGAACTACACATTCAATCAAACAGAACAACAGCTACGACCAGGGACAACATCTGCTAGGTGGTGTGTGAAGTCCTGTACGTTTTTACACGCGTGTTCGTCTGCTACACATAAAAAAAAAACAACAACCCTTAAATGTAACATCACGAATGCACATTTCCATTGTAACAACCAGCAGGCATTGGAAAATGCTAAGATAGGGGAAAGGAAAATAAACAACAAACAAACAAACAGTGCTGTTTCAAATATTGCCGTCAAATTGGGACATGTACAATTCAAAATTAACACATAAAAATCTTGCGGCGGCCGACATGATGCAAGATTTAGACATTTACGCCTAGTAGACGCTTGCATTATTGGACACACAGGCATATTCATAGCCCAAGGCACGATCTACAGGCATCGAGGCCTCACACAAAGACAATTGGTACACGTACTAATAGTGAGAAGGAAAAAAAAAATAAAGTACAATTAGGATACACCGTGAAACGTAATGCACGTCTCCCGTGACGTCAGTGGAGGACGCCTTTTGGGAAACCCCCCACAAACAACAACAAAATATGTGAAAGGGGGGGGGGGGAAAGTTTCTATGTCTAGAACAAACACGAGTGTGTACACGCCATTCTCGGTGGACATTCTGACGTCAACCAACGTTTGTTACAAGGCCTGTTCTGACGGTACATTCAACACAAACAATACATCAAAATGTAGGTCATACAGCGGAATGTATGTCATACATTTAAACGTAGATCCTCCATAAAAATGTAGGCCACATATTCAAATGTAGGTCATACATTCAAACGTGTAGCTAATGAGACGATACTTAAAAGAAATGTATTTAAAAAATGTTGAAAAAAGGAAGGGAAGGGGGCACGTACGATGAAGAGATGCACTTCGCTGCTAAATAAATAAATATCTAAGGATAGAAGGGTTCTCAAGCAATTAAAGGGTAAGGACAGAATGAGGTAGTGTAAAGTCAACGAAAACATNAAAAAAAAAAAAAAAAAAAAAAGAACTGTCTAACAATAGGTAAACGTGCAATTACCTATCCTGTTTAGTTTCACATCTAACGCACCCGGGTGGCTGTGTTTGATGGCGTTCATCCTGCGGTTCTGAGGACCTCCTACGCCTCCGCCCCCTCCCGCCATCCCGGGGGCTTTGGTTCCTTTAGGCCTAGGCGCCTCCACGGGCAGCACCCGCCGCCTCTTCTTGGGCAGCTTGGAGCGCGCCTGCGTGTGCGAGTAGAAGAGCGCAAAGTTGGAAACGATGACCGGAACGGGCAGCGCGATGCACAACACCCCGGCCAGGGCGCACAGCGCGCCCACGAACATCCCCACGTAGGTCTTCGGCACCATGTCGCCGTAGCCCACCGTCGTCATGGTGACGATGGCCCACCACAGGCCCACGGGTATGCTCTCGAAATCGTTCTCCGGATTGTACTGGATCCTCTCGGCGTAGTAGATGAGTGCCGCGAAGATGACGATGCCGAGCACGAGGAAGAAGATGAGGAGGATCAGCTCCTTGGCGCTGGCCTTGAACGTGTGTATGAGGATCTTCAGACCGGCCGAGTGCCTGGTCAGCTTGCACAGCCGCATGATCCTGATGATGGAGAAGAACTCGAGCATGTCGCTCTCCTGCTTCAGTTCGGTGAGCATGAAGTCCAGGTAGAAGCTGAGCGTGGCCACGATGTCGATGATGTTGACCGGCGCTTTGAGGAACTGGAGTTTGTTGGGGGCCACGGCGAACCGGATGATGATCTCGAAGGTGAACCAGGCGTTGCTGGCGCACTCGATGTAGAAGAAAGCCTCGTGAGGCTCCGTTTCCTTTTTCTCGAGCCTCCAGGTGTAGCTGCCGTTGGCGGTTTGCGATGTCGCGTTCTTCAGCACGGGGACCCTCATTTCGGGGTGTGTCTTTAGGCAGAACGATAGGATGGAGATTACGATGAAAAATACAGAGATGACAGCAATGATCTGGGGAAGACAAAGAAATATACCCAAAAAAAAAAAAAATAAACAAATTATTTACTTATAAATTGTGTTGTTGAATTTTTATATATAGCGCTTTCGAAGTTAAATCCCTAACAAATTTTTCACTAGGCTGTAACACAATATCCCATAGGATATTCAACGCTGAGAAAATGCATTCGAATCTCTATTTCATCATGAGAAGGGACCATTTCGCTTGTCTGTAGAGCTATGATGGCTCAAAGGTTGTAAAAGGCGAGGCAAAAAAAAAAAAAAATAATAATTAAAAATTAATAAACGTGTTTTGACACTGCACCGTTTAAAAATGAATGTTTCAGAATGTATATGTTTGAACAAGTCTGAAGAACAGTGACAAACATAATTAAGATCAAAGAACTTTAAGAAACTGTAAGCCAATCCGGCAAATGTATTATTATATTTTTTTTCTCTTTTAATTTTGATGGCTTTTTTTTTGTTTATATTTTTTTTTATGAAACTTATTTTTTTTTAAAAATAAAAATGTAAATATAATGTAAAATGTGAAATTAAAATGTCTTTTCAAAATCTCATTTTTTTTTTTGTTGCTACATTGTATTCAAGAACTTTGATTATAAGTCTAGAAATCGGATTTTTCATTATACTCGCAGTTAAATCCTTTAATTAGTGTACTATTAAATTTGCGATCAAAAGCTTAAAAATAATCAAGAAAAAAAAATCACGGGTGAAATCTGGTTTTATTTAAAACTTGGAGATTTATATTTCCGCAATTTCGTTACTCGTAATCCTGTTCTTTGTGTGTGTTACGGAAACCCCCCCCCCTCCCCTCCATTCATTGTTCAACATAGATGGTTGCGATAGGATTATTATCTTATGACGTATAGATGACGGAAGTCTGAAACTTAGGGGTCGGTCCTTTGCCGCACTCAAGTAATGTGATCACGTCTGCGTTAAACAATGGTCCCTAAAGTTTCATGTCAAAGCTGCGGATATTTTTTCTTTTTTCGTGCTCGACTTAGACAAAC